GGGGGGGGGGGGGGGATGACTGGGCCCCTGGCCAAAAAACCCCACCCAGCCGCCCCTGCCAGGGGGAGGCGCTGCGCGGCCGAAAACAGCAGAGCCGAAAATGCGCTCCATTAAACATTAATGATTAATAAAAATGATTCACAGACAGACAAACTTTTATCATAGTTCTTGATTTAACCTTTGAATCACGTTGGTCCCCGGGAAACCCAACTTATAAGACTCATCACATCCACAGACACATGTTCCCAGCTGCCAGCGCCATCTTTGTTATGTCGTGGCCTGTTCTCGAAATTAAAACCTCTCTGGCCCCATTCTGCGGCTGAAACTCGGGCACCTTTGCCCTACTTATCGACATTCTAAAACGAGATGTCTGGACCGCGGTCACGGTTAATGACTCCTAGCCTACTTAATGTCTCCTCAAAATGAGAAACAAGACGGCAGCCGTTAAACATATTTTTAACCTGCCTAAACTCACCATAGACAACACAGCTGTCATCCAGGCTACATAAAAAACAGAAAGCTGAGCTCCCTGCTTTTAAACTCGGTGCGGAATGAAGCGTTCCCCCATCTACACTCAGCTAGCGTCATTACAGCCCCAGAAAGACCAGATCAGCGTCTAAAATTTATAATTTCAATGTGTGTGTGRTGAAATATTAGCCGCAGCTGTTTAATATAACGTGCTGATGAAAACCTTAGCTCACCCGTGTTTCCGTCGACAGTTCAGGTTCTTTTAGCTCCAGTCTCGGAACGCCACTCACAGCYGTCGACCATATGACAGACCCACAAAAACCCGGAGCAGACAAAAAAACCAGGTCAGCTTCCGCCGCCGTTCCGTGGAAACGTCCCAGACAGACAGCCGGCCGCAGCGAACGCTCTCCGTTCCTCGAAGCTTCCGTAATTGACAACGCCAATAAACTGTCGTGGCAAATGCAGAAACACGTTGGAATAATATGAGAAAAGTCTGCGTATGTGATAATCAAATATGATTTCAATTGTGAGCAACGAACACACAGAACTGAATCAGGAAGGTTCTGCCTGCTTGCCGCTGGGGTGTCAGCAGAATACAGCCAATTATGTACCGTAGGCCAAACCCATGTGTCAGTTTACACCCAATCATAGATCGCGAAATGTACTGTTCAGCCAATCACAAGGCTCACACCCAGTCCATCYTGGATTCCKGTTGTCCAGACAATGAGAGAGTAACGAGCTATCAGAAATATACAAGATGAACAGTGTCAAGGGGAAACAGATATAAATAATTAGTCCATGACAGTTACCATGGTTTTTGTATCACTTCTCTGTTGTGTTTGGATTTTCTGGGTTGTTGTGTGATGTGCTGTGCCTTGGTGATTGTTGCTAATGCGTAGTAATTATGTCCAARTGGTGAGGTTGTTTAAGATGGCCAAACAACAACATTGTGTGTATAAGTGATGTCAAAAGGCTGTATAATACTCGTAAGTGAAGTTGTTCTTTTGCAAAATCAGTGTCTACGTTGTTGTGTTGAGGCAGYCAAGATGTAAGATGCATGCTAAAAATTGTGATGCGGGAAAAGGGGAGGGACTAATTTTCTTTGACATCTCCTCCTTAGTATAGTGGAGAGTATCCCCGCCTGTCACACYGGAGACCGGGGTTCGATTCCCCGATGGGAAGTAAATGAGCCCAGTGTGTTTTGTTCCCTTCAAAAACACACAGAAAAAACACGTCTTAGACAAGTCTCGTCAAAGCACGGATGCCAACAGGCCACATCATGCATTCATGTTTGCCTGCACCAAAATACCTCATTGAATCATTGAATTTCCTCTTCTAATTTAGCTGAAAACTGCTAATCACACATTCATTCAAATCAGGTGTGTTGGAGCCCAGGAAGGTGTAAAACATACAATTGGACACAGGTAAGGAAAACCAGCTGGTGGCGTCACAAAGCCTTTTGCTTTTCTGCATGGCACACATCTTCAACAGCTAACAGCAGACAAATTGAGCTGTCCTATATATTGGCCAGGAATCGAACCCGGGTTTTTAGCTTCCTTGGCTCCAACACACCTGATATGAATGAATGTGTTATTAGCAGTTTTTAGCTAAATTAGAAGAGGAAATTCAATGATTCAATGAGGTATGTTGGTGCAGGGAAACATGAATGCATGATGTGTGCTACTTCAAATGGGATTAATTCATTCGATTGAGGTCTTTATGAAGTGGAACTGCAAGGTTTTGGTCGGAATTCCTCCTTATTTCAACTTTACCAGACCCTCTTTCACATTTTTAC